GTGGAAGATTGTGAAGGGCGCCATGGTTGTTGCACGTGGCACAAAATTCGAAACCTTATACACTACTGCAGAGTGTATAAACATGACTGCTGCTGCTGAGAGTGCTTCCAACTCAAGTCTATGGCACAATAGACTTGGACATATGTGCGTCAAATGAATGAAGATGTTGACTGCAAAAGAAGCTTTAGAAGGCTTAAAATCTGTTGATATGGGTCTTTGTGAGAGCTGTGTTATGGGCAAATAGAAACGAGTTAGTTTGACAAAGGTTGCTAGAGAATCGAAGAAAGTGTAGTTGAAAATGGTCCATACAGACGTTTGGGGACCATCTCTAGTTTCATCACTTGGTGGATCAAGGTTCTACGTCACCTTCATCGATGACTTCAGCAGGAAGGTATGGATTTACTTTCTGAAACACAAGTCAGATGCGTTTGTCACCTTCAAGAAGTGGAAAGCTGAAGTTGAAAATCAGAACAGCTTGAAGATCAAATGCCTGAGGTCTAACAATGGAGGTGATAGTGTTAATATAACACGTGCGAAAGCAGTTTGGATCTTAGGCACTCTAAGTACATCAATTATAGTGACTTAGCTAGCATGTTCAAAAGCATTAAAACTCAATGAGTTTGAATACTAACCTTTTGTCGTTCAAGTTTCTTTTTCCTCACGAACCGGTTTCGAACCACCACTAGTGTCTTCTCCACTATTCTCCGGCCTTAGAACGGGATTGTGGAATCTGGTGAGTGATTAAACTTGGGAGGGATTTAGTATATATGAAGAGAGAGTTTGTGAGAGGTTTTTCTCAAGGTTTTTTCCAAAAGCCAACCTTCCATGTACTCTGATCACTCTATTTATAGTCATGTTTACATGTTCATGCAAATTTGAGATCACCAAATTTTGACACTAAAAATTTCACTCAAATGTTTGGGATTATGTGGCAAGCATGCAAGCTTGAGTTAACCAAATTTTGACACTCAAAATTCCACTCAAATTTGTGAGATTTATTTGGCAAGCATGCAAGTTTGGTTAAACCAAATTTTGACACCTCAAAATTCCACAAACATGAGTTTTTCCATTAAATGAAGTCAACATTTTGACTTTCTTCATTTTGATTCAACAATCAATTTGAATTATTAATTTCAAATTAAAGTAATATTAAATGATTAATTAAACTATTTAATTAATATTTAATATTAATTGGTATGGTGCAAAGCCTTAATTGAGGTTATGCAATGCCTTAATTGGTATGGTGCAGTGATCGTAAATTCTTGGTTGACTGGATCAGTCTCCAAGTGGGAGGATTGTTAAGTTATGGAACCTGCTACTTATTTATATCTTGGTCAACTGTTATACATCTATATCTGGTAAATAGCTATATATAGTAAATGGTTAAATCTGGTAAAGTCATGTATAGTAAACAGAACTATATATCCGTTTAGGTTGAGCTTTGAAAATGTACTATATTCTCTCTTATACATACTCATCAATACAAATCCTTTAGTCAGAGCTCTTCTTGCATTCACTCTATCCTGTTCTTTGTGTTCATCTAGATCGAATGTGTGCGTTGTTGTGCGATCCTAACACATTTAGGATATGACGATGGTTACATTCTACGACTTCATTTTGTTGTGGAGTATAGACACAAGTGTGCTGAAATTCACTACCACAAGAAGAAGATAGGAACTCAGTCTCATTGTCTGATCGTACTATCTTGATAGTATTATGAAATTGAGTTTGAACGAATTTAACAAAGTTCATTAACAAATGATGTATTTCTGATTTATGTTGCATAAGAAAAACTCAAGTACATCTAGTAAAATCACCAACAATAGTAAGAAAAAATACAAACTAGAATGTATAAGAATTTTATGAGGTCCCCAAATATCACAATGTAACATATAAAAATCAGAATGTGTTGTTATTGAGTTTCATGGAAAAGATAACCTAGTTTGTTTTGCTAATGGGCAAATACTACAATTATGAGAAAAAGTAGCATTATCAAGATGCAATTGATCCGCTAGAAATTTAAAACGAGAAAATAAAGAATGACCTAGACGTAAATGCCACAGAATAGATGATTGAGATACTTGATGAGCTGGAGCTTTGATTGGAGATGAAGAAATATGATAGAGACCTCCGAATTGTTTACCCGTACCAATCATCTTTCTCATAGCCATGTTCTGCATAACACAAAATTCATGATAGAAGGTGACACAACATTTCAAGTTATTGGTAAGTTTGCTGATAGACATTCAGTTTAAATTGAATGAAGGCACACATAAAACATCGTTTAATTCAAGGTTAGGATTAAAGAAAACATTCCCTATATGTGACACATGTATTGTCCCTCCATTAGGCAAATTTATTGTAAAATGATTGCAGCCTTTGGTTCAGTCATAACAGAAGCTTTGGATATGATATGATCCGTAGCTCCACTATCGAGAATCCATGAATTAAAACTAGCAGAGTTAATGGATAATGCAGATACTGGAATCAAACCTACAACATTGATGTAACTGTTAGAATTACCAGAAGGACGATGATAGAGTGCAGATAAGACTTGTATTATCTATTGTAATCTCTCAAAAGAAAAAATTGGAGTGGAATTAGGCGACTGTTTTCTGTATTCAATTGAGAAATATCAGTTATATTTGCAGATGATCAATACCAACGATTGTTGTGTTTGATAACTTGTATTGCCCTTCCATAATTATTTTTCTATCGACATCGATCTTCTATATGTCCCATTTTATCACAAAATTTACAAAGAAACTTAGGATTCGATACTGATCAATTATATGACAACTTCTATTATAGTGTTCACATGATTTGTCCTTGATGAATTTTGAATATGTTATCTTCTTCTCCATTGTTGCTACAATTGAGAAATTCTTAGTAGGTTCAGAAGTTACCTGACGTTGCATCTCCTTCTTGTACAAGTAATGAATAGGTTTGCCTCACATTAAGTTATGAAGTCATCATCAATATGTTAGATCTCACCATTTTATAAGATTCATTGAGCCCCATGAGTAGTTGCATCTACTTGTCTTCTTCGCGTTGATTAACATGTACTTGGCGTTGATTATAGGTAAATGGTGTGCGGTACGCTTCCAATTCATCCCAGAGCGCTTTAAGCTTGGTGAAATATGATGACAGTGCCATGATTCCCTGTGACATCATTGCTATCAACTTTTGTATCTGAAAAATTGCTCGAGCATTCTTTTGTGAGAATAGATCATGAAGATCAACCTATATTTGATGAGTTAACCAAGATCAACAATATGATATTGTCTTAGCGTAAATAATACCTTCAGCGATATCTACTTCAACTGAATGAGCTAACTAAGATAATATCATATTGTTGCACTGATTCGAGAGTTCAAATTCTTTTGACTTAAGATGGTTCTTCAATTGTGCTACCAATGGAGCCAATTTTATTTTTGGCAATTGTGATCGAAAATGCGATTTTCATTAATGTTAACAAAATTTAAATAAGATACAAACTACCAACTAACTCGTAAAAGTAAAATATTATACTAACCAAATCCTGAAAGTAATATAAAATATACTGTCAATCATAGAAAAAATATTAATTGATTACAGATATCTAACCTACATTTCATAACTAAACCATATATGATAATGACACCTATCATGAGCTAAATAGAGGATTTATTTTATACTCGGTAGTGGTGGGGTTTATTCTACACATGGTCATGGTTCTTCATGTTATCTACTTATGTAGTCCCTTGTACCCTCTCTATTTCCTCATGTTATCTATTTATGTAGTCTCGTCCCTTGTTGTCACGACCGGATTATTGTGGCTTTGAAAAATTGGACTGCGATAAAAAGACAAAATCGAAAACAAATAAAATAACAGTAAATTAAAACAAATAATTAAAACTACGAAAAACACAATAAAATTTCGTGCAAATTAAAAACATACAACATCATTGTCAAAGTCCGAAATCCAAAATGAAAACAATGCAAATTAGTGTTGATCAAGAAATTTACAAATGGGAAATATGAGCGGGATACAAAAAGAATACAATTGACAACCCTAAAAAAATACAGATTAACTGACGCCTTGGGTCGACACACCTTTATGACAGCGCAGCTCCGGAGTACCTTCCCACCTTAACTAGTACCTAAAAAAAGAAGGGAAAGCGGTGAGTATTAAAATACTCGATAAGCAGCCTACCTATAGGCACTCATCGCATCCATTTCCTAGTAAGTTTCACAGATTTTTCTCTAGGGTTTAGGATGTTCGGGCCTATTTTTACAACTATTTGACCCTCTATGTTGGCTTCAAAGTCCCAAACGATTCATCATGTGCCAACTATCCAAAAACAGTTTACGGAATCAAGACATCAGTCTTACCCCGATTCTACACTCAATAGAGATACTCTCTTTAAGCCACCTACTCGTGTTGTCCCAAGTCTAGTCCAAGATTGGTTTACGAAATTGCAGTGTCAATCTTGACTTGTTTCTACCCTCAATATGAGTTCTCGATCTTGATAACTACCCGTGTAGTCTAAGTCTCGTCCAAGACTGGTTTATAGGGTTGCCTGTTTCTACATTCTATAGTCACTCAAATAGTATCGGGTCCTGTTAAGCTTCCTTAGTCTTACTTAGATATCGTGAAAGTTTATTAGGTTCTTAGGGTATCTAGGTGGTTTAAACTACATCTCATGTTTTTAGGATACTCATGTTTAGAACTTTGATTACCGCTCATGATCCTAAGGTGCTAGTCTGAAACGTTCTATTCTCAACTAAGTCGGCCTTTTCAAAACATATATTATTTTCTGAATAACATAAAAAAAAAATAAAAAAAATAAAAAAAAATATGGGAGGAGAATTGGTAAATGAAGTGTTTAATAATGATGCAGGCAGTTACATGCAGGAGCAGAGGGATTGGGCGTAATAAGGGCAATAACAGACCACGCGCCTTCCAAAGGGAAATTACAGGCCACGCGCCTTCTCTGATACTAGATACTTCAATCCCCCTCTCTCCAAACCCTCACTCTCTCTCCTCACACCTTCACCATGAGCATCTCTTCTCTTGCTTTCCAGCCCACTCTTTTCTCCGCCGCCAAATTGCCGTCGCCGGCCTGCCGGAGGCCCTTTTCCGGACGTCATCCTGCACTCATCGTTTGCTCCTCTGCTAAACCCGCGGCGGCGGTTAGTTCGTCTGTCAGTGCGCCGGAGTCAGCGGGGAAGGATGAACTGAAACGAATTGGGGAACTTAGTCAAGTATCGGGAGTGTTGGGCTGCCAGTGGGGTGATGAAGGTAAAGGTAAACTCGTTGATATCTTGGCCCAGCACTTCGAAATCGTCGCTCGTTGTCAGGTAGTCAGTCTTCAAGATTTGATTTCATTTTTCTTTTGGGATAATTTTTCTGTTCAGGTTTTTGTTGTGTTTCTTCTGCCTTTTCTATTGGATTTGGATTTGTTTATTGATTTGCTCTATTTCTACTTGCCTCCATGCGAATCTCGTTTTATTTTGTTTGCAATTTCAGAATCTCTTTGTTCTTTTTGTTCTTTCTTTCCTGAGGCACTTTGACGTTATCGAAGCATATAAGAATCTTCTTCTAACCTTGTGTTGTTATATTTGCAATGGTGAAGGCCAAAGGGCGGCTATGATTTATCTCTGTATTTGCACATCCGCTTTTAGAAGAGTCGATGAGCCATTTTGATTCTATGTTGCGTTTTTATTAGATATCCTGATGTGTATGACACCTTTGGTCTCTGGAACTATCTGAGAGTTCAAACTGATTTGCAGGGTGGGGCTAATGCTGGGCACACAATCTATAATGCAGAAGGGAAGAAGTTTGCTCTTCATCTCATCCCCTCAGGGATCCTTAATGAAGGTACTTTATGTGTTGTTGGAAACGGAGTTGTGGTGCATGTGCCCGGTTTCTTCGAAGAAATTGATCGTCTAGAAGCGAGTGGAGTGTCTTGCAAGGGAAGGATCTTGGTGTCTGATCGAGCCCATCTGTTATTTGATTTTCATCAGGAGGTGGATGGCTTAAGAGAAGTTGAGTTAGCTAAATCTTTCATTGGAACAACCAGGAGAGGGATTGGACCTTGTTACTCTAGCAAAGTTATTAGAAATGGTATTAGAGTGGGTGATTTGAGGCACTTGGATACACTTCCTCATAAGCTCGACCTTCTACTCTCCGATGCTGCGTCGAGATTCAAGGATTTTGTCTATAGCCCAGAAATTCTGAAGGAAGAAGTCGAGAAGTACAAACGATATGCCGAGAGATTGGAACCATTTATCACTGACACTGTGCATTTCATTAATGAAGCCATCTCTGATAATAAGAAGATTTTGGTTGAAGGTGGTCAAGCAACTATGCTTGACATTGACTTTGGTACTTATCCTTTCGTAACTTCTTCCAGCCCGTCCGCAGGTGGAATTTGCACCGGTCTTGGAATTGCTCCAAAAGTTGTGGGTGATCTTATAGGAGTTGTGAGTATCTTTTGATTCACTGTTTCTTTATTTCCTTCTTGATGGAAAGCTGATTTATATATTGGATGTGGTGCATATCCTTAAGGTTCTCTGTTGATCCTTGCAGGTGAAGGCATACACTACTAGAGTTGGTTCTGGCCCTTTTCCTACTGAGATCTTGGGAAAGGGGGGTGACCTCCTTAGGTTTGCTGGTCAAGAATTTGGTACCACAACTGGTCGCCCTCGTCGCTGTGGATGGCTCGATATAGTTGCTCTAAAATATTGCTGTAAAATTAATGGCTTCTCTTCTCTGAATCTTACGAAACTCGACGTTCTCTCAGAACTGTCTGAGATACAACTGGGGGTTTCTTATCGAACACCTGATGGAACGCCAGTCGAATCATTTCCCGCAGATCTTAGTCTTCTTGAACAAATAAAGGCAAGCATTATGCATCCTTTTTCTTACTTCTATCCTTTGTCCTTGCTTTTATTTTAACTTTGATGCTATGGGTTTAGTTAATGATTTAAGAATTGTGACTTTTAGGGGTTCTTAAGAAGAAGAAATAAAAGAAAGTAAGAGAATAAAAGATAAATAAAAGTATTACTCACTTGTTTATGCTTGGTGCATATGGCTTTAGAAGACGAGCCAAAAACTTTATAGGTTGATTTCATTTATTCTTGTGTTAACTTTTCAAAAATCAGCAAAAAGTTGCGTTTCAAAAAAGGTAAAAATCTGATGTGCATTTAGTTGTGTTTGAATATGCTCTCATGTGTTCTTTCGTTGTTACTTCATTAAATTGTTGGGAATGGTTGTGTAACAGCCCAAGCTCACCGCTACACCGGATGGTGTTCCAGTGAGGACGCTGGACTCCGAAGGGGGTGGATTGTGAGATCCCATATCGGTTGGGAGGAGAATGAAGCATTCTTAATAAGGGTGTGGACACCTCTCCCTAACTGATGCGTTTTAAAAACCTTGAGGGAAGCCCGAAAGGGAAAGTCCAAAGAGGAAAATATCTACTAGCAGTGGGCTTGGATTATTACAGGTTGGGATTATGTTCGACCAAGATTTTGGATGTTTTCAGGCTTTTGATTGTCTTGATAAAGAATACGATTGCTTTTATTTTTTTTTATTATGTTGCATGCATATCTTTGAACGTGTGGTCTTTTAGGCAAATGCATTAGAAAACCATAATATTTCAAAAAGGAAATGAAATGCTTTAAGTTTCAAGTAAAAAATTAGTCAACCGGAGTATAGTTCATAGTTAAAGACATTATAACATTGATCAAGGTCGGAAGTTTGAATCTCCACCCTTGTTATTGAACCAAAAAAGAAAAAAGAAAAACACGTTTTTAATGTTGTCTAAAGTTCTTTGATGTTGTCCATGGTTCTTAGCATTTTCTTTGTTTGCAACTGTATCATGTTATATTGCTCTTTTGTTTCCAAGTCAAACTAAATTAGGTGTTCAAATTTTCTTAAATTTCAAGGTCTTCAACTCCTGAATCCAGAATCTTACGACAGTCTCTACTTTTTCCCGTTTGTTTTCCTGTGTATAGGTGGAATATGAAACAATGCCTGGATGGATGTGTGATATCTCTTCAATAAGAGATTATTCTGACCTTCCTAAGGCTGCAAAAGAATATGTATCAAGGATCGAAGAACTCGTGGGCATACCTGTGCATTACATCGGTGTCGGTCCAGGCCGTGATGCACTATTATACAAATGATTCGAGTTATCAGTTGATCAATCATTGGAGCTCCAGGTATGGTTCAAGATTACATTGGTAGAAATATTTATCATCATCTTGAGCTGTTTTTTTGGAGTAAATTCAACAATACAGCATAACCATTTGAATGTGATACCTGTTTCTGAGGCTGTTTACACATTTCCCATATGACTAGTAGAGCTTAATATAGGCATTTTTGGGAGGCTCTATTAGCTCAGGAAATGGTATAAGCTCAAGAATAATTATCATATCCAGGAAATAATAATGAGTTCAGATGGTCATTCTTGGCAATCAATCATCTTTCCAGTCTGTTTCATCTTCTGGGGATACTGACTTTTTTTTTTGCCAAAATTTACTTCAAATGGATCCATATCAAACTCATTGTGATTGTAAAGACGAAGCCCACTACTAGTCGATATTGTCCTCTTTGGACTTTCCTTTACAGACTTCCCCTCAAGGTTTTTGAAACGCGTCTACTAGGGAGAGGTTTCCACACTCATATAAAGAATGTTTTGTTCTCCTCCCTAACTGAGATGGGATCTCACATTCCACCCTCCTTTGAGGCCCAGAGTCCTCACTGACACTCGCTCCATTCTCCAATCGATATGGGACTCCCCAAATCCACCCCTTTCGAGGCCCAATATCCTTGTTGGTACACTGCCTTGTGTCCACCCCCTAGCCTCCTCGTTGGCACATCGTTCGATGTCTAGCTCTGATACCATTAACAACCCAAGCTCATCGCTAGCCGATATTGTCTTCTGTGTGCTTTTCCTTTCGAGCTTTCCCTCAAGGTTTTTAAAATGTCTGTTAGGGAGAGGTTTCTACACCTTTATAAACAATGTTTCGTTCTCCTCCCCAACTGAAGTGGGATCTTATAGTGATTCTTAAACTTTAAATATGTTTCATTTGAATGTCGAGTGTTTGTTTGAAACGTGCGAGAGACGGTAAGAGGTATACATCCCCATCAAGGTTTCTAGCATGGGGCATTTGAATGGAATTTATACTCATAAATAAGCCTATTCTATACCTTTCTAAGACAGTTCATGCTTTGACTGTGTTTATACTAAGATAAGATAAGAATCCAATTGGCATAAAGCAAGAAATTTTGGAAGTTTAAGCCACAAATTTAGCACCTACTTTAGTTATTCTTATCAACGATTCTGATTTTAATATTCTTAAAGTTCTGTCTTAGTGAGTTGTATAATCTAAGGATGAAAGTAAGGAGATTTTTAGAGAGAAGTGAGATAGTAAAGAGACAAAACGGTTCTTTCGAGGCATAAAAAGGGGTTGATCTGTATCATCTTGATTGAATTTTTATCTCTCTATTCTCTATATCGAACAGAGCATGCGGAGTCAAATTTTCTTATTTTCTTCGGGTCTTTTTAAGAGAGTCAAATTTTCTTCTATGGTTTAATGAAATCGAGGTGTGCTATGTTTCAAATTCTTAGTTAATTCTATTTTTTATGGGAACGGTTGACAATTAAATCCAATTTTGCTTTTTTTTTTCTTTTTCTTTTTTCATTATTGTATTAGTTGTTCAAGAATAGTGGTGTTGAGTTTCTCTCGGACTAGTCACATTTTTGTTCGGTAAAATATGAAACATATGTGCAATAATAACTTTCAATATATTAAAAGTAAAATTTTAAATTTTAAATGAAATTGAAAATTACCTTACAGGCCATTATTACCATATATGCTGAAAACAGCAAGTACTCCCTAAACATTACTATTATTGCTGACTATATTTACTTAAAACGTTATAACTACACGGTAAAAAAGTAAAAAATTTCAAGCCCTAATAACCCATATATATTATTTAATTTTAAAAAGTTACTCCCAGTGTTATTTTTACGGGATAAGGATGAAATTCACCGCAAGGAATTTGCATGAATCAATTTTTTTTTGGTAAATTTCACCATTTTTTAATATTTTTAAAAGAGTATAGCTATTTTAAAATTTTTATTTTTTGATATAATTTTTATTAAAATTTTGTAAAACAAAATCCATATGTTTTATAAGCAAAGGTATATATAATATTCTACCAACATTATAAATATTACAAACTCAAAATTAATAACTTAACTCATTTATGTAAATATGTGCTGAAATATATTTATATTAAACGAGGTAAGAGGGAGCGGGACAGTGAATTGGGTGGGATGTGGACATGGAATACAATCTCGTCCCCTGCCTTATTTATCTAATGGAGAAAAACTATTCTTCATTTCCTCTCATTCTCTCTCATTCCCATCTAAACATGTCCGTTCGGGAGCGGGTAAAATGAACATCTCTATCTACCCTAGACCCATATTCAAACTATAATTTGGAACCAAAATTAGGTAAATGTCAACCCTTGTATTCATTTCTATAAAAATTTCTATAAAATCATCCAACTTAGAATTAGTCGAGGTCGAGATCAAACGCATTTAATCTCAAAAAAACAAAACAGTCTTATAAATATAGATTTACGTGATTAGAGCGAAATTAATTGTGGTCACGAATTTTTAATCAAAAATGGTGCAGACAGAATTATATGTGGCCAAATAAATCTTTACCATCAAATCATAGAGAATCATCCTTTGATTATATTTCCCTAATTTCTATCCACCACCACATGTTAAATTTTAATGATGGATTAAGGGACCAACTCTTCCATTTTCTTTTCATTTATTGATTGAAACATGTAGGACCCATATCAAACCTAAATCATCTACTCGTCCCGTTTCGAAATTTGAACCGCAACGAAAAAGATAAAGACAAAAATAAATTAATTAAAATACACAAAAAAAAAAAAAAAAAAAAAACGGAATCTAATTACAAACCGATGTTTACTATGAAATGGAAAATGGGTTTGGAAAAGAAATACAAAAGACTCAAATATAAAAACGAATTGATGTTTCGAAACTATTTCCTCTGTAACTACGCAGCTGATCTTGAGCTCTCCCAATCTCGACTGGTAGCCTGTAAACACCTAGAAAAAAGAAGGGGCATATAAAAATACTTAGTAAGCGATCTACTTGTAGGCTCTCATTGCATCCTTATCCAGTTTGTTACGGCGGGTTTTATTTTGAGCTCTCAGAAGTTCATGCCTAGTTTAGGAATCCTTCTATTACTACACAAGTGGCACCTATCATGAGCTAAACTATTTATGTAGTCTTTGTCTCCTCACAAGGTTGGTTTCACTTTGGCGCTACTTTTGTCTCTCTTAAGGCTGGTGTATTCTACCTACGACAGTAGCTGCTTAAGGTTGGTTTATTTTACACGTAGTAGTAGTTCTTCATGTCATCTACTTGTGAGTCCCTCATCTCTTCTCAAAGCTGGTTTATTCTACATAGTAGTTACTCTATTTAACTAGTTATTTAGTCTCTTGTCCCCTCTCAAGGCTGATTTATGGGTTTTTGACCCGCTCCTACACATAGTAGTAGTTCCTTATGTCATCTACTTTTGTAGTCCCTTGTGTCATCTACTGGTTCATTTTACATACAGTATTAACTCCTCAAATAGATTTCATTCACCCTACTTGCGGTTTTGTAAGTTCTCTTAAAATTTCTTGGATGTCGTAGAGGTTTATTAGGTTTTTAGGGACGTCTAGAAGGTTTAAATCTCATCTCGCATTCCTGGTCACTCGAGGTTAGTTCCTTAGGGCTAATCTAGTTTTCTAGATGTAATTAGGTCTAGACCTTTGATTGCTACTCAAGATCCTAAGGTGCTCAATCAATAAGAAACATATTGACCTAAGTCAACGTGAAAACTGCTCTAGCTCTAATACCCTAATCTTAGCTCGGTTTAATCATGAATACTTTGATATGGAGATATTTTGGTCGATCACCTAAATCATAGAAAACATAATATGAACATGCATGCAAAATCACCGAGCTTTGATAGAGAGAGATTCTCGTTGATCACCTAAAGCATATAAAACATAATCTAAACATTCATGAAAATCAATAGGGAGATAACATCCATCGATCGCAACATCTCATCCTCCTTTCTCAACACAACATAAAACATTAAAATAAGTATGGAACTTAAATTTTCATCCCAGGAGAATTTCGATAATTTTCCATAACATATATAATATTATCATCCAAATGGTCCATTATGAGTCATAATTATGCATATTTTAATAACATAAGACAAGAAATTCTCACATGCTTGTACGTTATAGAAGTCATTCCCGAGCTAGCTTTTCTGCTTGTTAGGAGTCCCAAAATTTCTCTAGTAGGTCCTAGTTCAATTGATTATAGGGTTAACACTAAAACTGAAGCGAAAATCGTTAAACGTGTCAAAAGAAACTATCTCATGTGCTCTCATGCGCGCAGCCTACACACGAGTGTTCACGTGCGACAGGAGTACTCTCGTCTCCATTTTGACATGGAGTGATCATTGCTTTTCTTTTTGGGCTTCTATATGTGCGTTTGAATTTAGAGGTGCATGATTTTTCTTCAACTTCATTGTCGTAACATGTGGCGTGCTCAGATGGGTCACGAGCCATGGGTCATATCCCCGATTGGGTCACCCCGCGGGTCTGCGTGCGCCAAGCTTCCTCCCTCGATAGCCAACACATGTCTTTGTCGATGTTTGATACATGTCTTTTTCTAAGTAACTCAAATCAACTTGGTTTCTTCACCAAAATTGTAGAGTTTTGATCTGTCTTAAGTAAAAAAATTATTTTCAGAGAGAAATAGATGGTTCAAAGTTGGTCCCAAAAAAAAAAAAAAAAAAAAAAAATTGCCGTTTTTGGAGTATACCATAGTTCTAACTTTTGGTCCAGATTAACTCCGACTTCCTTCACTAAACTTGGGTAGGATCCCTCCAAAAATAATGTATAAAAAACTTCAAAACTAAAAACTCGAAACCTTACATTTAGTTCTTCCTCATATGGATTTAAGCAATTCAAGCCCCCAAAATAATTTTCCCAAAGCCGCTTAGCGGATCTTCGACAGAATTCTGATTCTAAGGCACCATTTGGAATAAAATTGTGTAGTTAGAAATCGCTGGTAGATCTATATAATAAAATGATGTAAAATTCACAAAAATAAGTGCAAGTATATATTATCAATAAGTAATAAGTAAACTATTGATTCCACATAAAATTTAATATTATATATATATATATATATATATATATATATATATATTTTGCTACTTTGTTGCGGGAAATTGAGTTTTTTTGGTAACATTCTATTGGGGTAGGTGATTTTACTAATTAAAAAAAATTAATGCAGAGTGTCAGTGCTATCGAAAAACAGGAAAATAATGAAAAAACAACAATAACAAGAAAGGTTGGGGCTA